AAAAAAAAAAAAGAACCAGTCAATATAGTATGACATTAACATCTCAATAAAGAAAGAGCAAAATTCAATAGTACCCTGTCAGGATTTTAAAAAATACTCAACAAATTATGAGTAAAAGGAAACTATCTCAACGAAATAAAAGCTAACATTATGCTCAACAGGGAAGGAGAAGGCTTATCCTATAAGATCAGGCAGTAAAGCAAGAATGCCCACTCTTGCCATTACTATTCAACATAGTACTGGAAATTCTAGCCAGAGTAATAAGACAGGAAAAAGAAATAAAAGGTATTCAACTTAGAAAAGACTTAAAACGATCTCTCTTTGCAGATGACATCTTATATGTAAAAAGAAATTGAGCAACGTGGGTGAATCTCAAAAACATCATGCTAAGTAAAAGAAGCCAGATCAATAACTACTGGAATCAAATTAATGTATGATTCCATTTATATTAATTATATTAAAGACAGTAGGTCAGAAACTACCCAGAGTGGAAGACTGCAAAGAGGCCCAAGGAAACTTTGGGGGATAATGGTTTCCAAAGTTCACATAATTGTACTATTAGAATTAATGCTTTCTATTGTAGGCAAATTATTTCTTTTATGCCATCAATAATTAGAAGATGAAAGTTTATGAAAATATTACTTACAATAGCATATAAGTTTTTTAAAAAATACCTAGAAATTAACTTCTAATAAAATGTAAGACCTCTATAGGGTGAAATTAAGGGATGCTAAAGAAGATCTAAATATCTTTACAGAGATTTCTTATGAATTAAAGACATTATGGGAAAGATATCAATTCTCAAATTGATTGGTGGATTCAATGTAATTCCATAAAAATTTCAGCCTTTTTACCCTGTTTGTCTGATTCTAGAATTTATATGGACAGGCTGTGAACACAAAAAGATAGGTGAACTTGCTGTACTGTATATCAAGATTTATTAGGAAAATAGTACAATTATACCAATGATAATGATATAAGAATGGTTGGTAGGCAAATGAAATGCAATAGAAAGCCTAGTAGTAAACACCCAAGCTTACATAGACATTTCTATGAAAGAAATGCTGTGGCTGATCAGAGGGGAAGTTAATGACTTTCAATAAATCATTTTGAGTAGTCATTTGGAAAAAAAGGAAATTAGATTGCCACTTTTCATGAGCTCCCTCATCCCCACCATCTCTTTTGTGTGTTAAAGTCCTAGGTGTGAAAGGCAAACCTGTAGTGCTTTTTAAAAAGAATGTAGAATATCTCCATAGCCTTGGGAAAGGATTTTTCTTCAACTAGACACAAAAACCATTAGCTGTAAAGGAAAAAATTGGTTAATTTGAGTACATTAAAATTAAGAACTCTGTCATAAAAATGCAATTTTTAAAAAGTGAAAAACTATCAGTATGTGACAAGGTGCTCTCTGTTCTACATTTATTTCTGCAGTACAAAAAAGTATATATGTGATTGGCATATATGTAGAAAATGGCAGGAATTTAACTGAGATTATATTAATTTCTATACCATTTTTCTGAGCAAGCCATTTTTTTTTATCATCAAATAGCTGCAAGTAAATAGAATAAACAAATACAACTGAATATTGCAGCTGAGGAAGAATATGGCAGTGTATATGATACCTATACACTTCAATTTAGCCTCTTTTCTGTTTGACCAAATCTTTATTGCACTATTTGCCCTATCTTCGTTATTTAGTAGCCTCACTCTTCCTTATACCCCTTTCTGTCAAGCCAGCTTTTCTTTTCTTTCATTTTTTAAAAAAGACAGTATTTTTATTTACTCTAATATTTTTAATTGGACTCTTTTGGTTCCATATGAAATTTAAAGCAGGCTAGGCATGGTGGCTCACGCCTGTAATCCCAGCACTTTGGGAGGCCGAGGCGGGTGGATTATGAGGTCAAGAGATCAAGACCATCCTGGTCAACATGGTGAAACCCCGTCTCTACAAAAAATACAAAAAATTAGCTGGGCATGGTGGCTCCTGCCTGTAATCCCAGCTACTCAGGAGGTTGGGACAGGAGAATTGCCTGAACCCAGGAGGCGGAGGTTGCGGTAAGCCAAGATCGCGCCATTGCCCTCCAGCCTGGGTAATAAGAGTGAAACTCCGTCTCAAAAAAAAAAAAAAAAAAGAGAATTTTAAAGCAATTTTTTCTAGTTGTGTGAAGAATGTCAATGATAGCTTGATAGGAATAGCATTGGATCTATAAATTACTTTGGGCAGTATGGCCATTTTCGTGACATGAATTCTTCCTGTCTATGAGCATGAAACGTTTTTCCATTTGTTTGTGTCCTCTCTTATTTCCGTGAGCAGTGGTTTGTAGTTCTCCTTGATGAGGTCCTTCACATCCCCTGTAAGTTGTATTTCTAGGTATTTTATTTTCTCTGTAGCAATTGTGAATGGGAGTTTACTCATGATTTGGCTATTTGTCTATCATTGATGTATAGGAATGCTTGTGATTTTTGCATATTGATTTTGTATCCTGAGACTTTGCTGAAATTGAGGAGTTGTGGGGCTGAGATGATGGAGTTTTCTAAATATACAATCCTGTCATCTGCAAACAGACAATTTGACTTCCTCTCTTCCTGTTTGAATATCCTTTATTTATTTCTCTTGCCTGATTGCCCTGTTGAATCAGAGTAGTAAGAGAGGGAATCCTTGTCTTGTGCCAGTTTTCAAAGGAAATGCTTCCAGCTTTTGCCCATTTAGTATGATATTCTCTATGGGTTAGTCATAAGTAGCTCTTATTATTTTGAGATATGTTTTATCAATACCTAGCTTATTAAGTGTTTTTAGCATAAAGGGCTGTTGAATTTTGTCAAAGGCCTTCTCTGCATCAATTGAGATAATCATGTGGTTTTCGTCATTGGTTCTGTTTATGTGATGGATTATGTTGATTGATTTGCATACATTGAAGCAGCCTTGTATCCCAGGGATGAAGCCCACTTGATTGTGATGGAAAAGCTTTTTGATATACTGCTGGATTCAGTTCCACCAGTCTTTTATCAAGGATTTTCGTGTCGATGTTCATCAGGGTTATTGACCTGAAATTTTCTTTTTTTGTGTGTGTCTATGCCAGGTTTTTGGTATCAGGATGATGCTGGCTTCAAAAAATGAATTAGGGAGTAGTCCCTCTTTTTCTATTGTTGGGAATAGTTTCAGAGGGAATGGTACCAGCTCTTCTTCTGGTGGAATTTGACTGTGGATCCATCTGGTCCTGTGCTTTTTTTGGTTGGTAGACTGTTA